TCCCAAGACTTTGGGTCAATGCCAAAACATTTCAAGGATGACTTGAGGGAATCCTTGAAATATTTCTTCGGGTCTTCCTCCGAGTACTTTCCCTCTTAGTTCACCATAGAAGATCTTCTTTGGCAGTCACTCATCTGGCATCCTGGTAACATGACCAATCCATCTCACCTGTGATTTCTTCAACAGAGTATGGATGCTTGAAATGCCTGCCTATGTAAGAACCTCAGTGTCTGGGACCTTGTTTTGCCATCTTATCCTTATCTGATTTTTTTTTTCAAACAGCTCATGTAAAAGTGGTTCAGTTTCATAGCGTGGTGTCTGTGCACTGTCCAGGTTTTGCATACATACATCAAAATTGCCAACACAGTGGCTTTGTAGACTGTCAGTTGTGTTTGTTGACTGATGCCTCTGCACTCCCACACATTTGCACAAAGTCTGCTGAAGGCCATGCTTGCTTTGGCAATTCTGGCATTGCTCTAATCATCGATGTGAACTGCAAATGACAGTGTCCTGCGAAGATAGGTGAACTTGTCCACTGCCTGGAGGGTTTGGCCATTCACTGTGATGTTAGGCTCTACTTCAGGCTTTCCTGGTGCAGGCTGGTGCATCACTTCTGTCATCTTGGTGTTGATTGTGAGACCAAAAATGTCACGAGCTGAACAGAAATGCTCCATACTCTGCTGCATGTCGGACTCAGATCTGGCATTCGGGGAACAGTCATCAGCAAACAGAAGATCATGAATAGTCACTTCCTGTAACTTTGCTTTACCTGTAGTCTCCTTAAACTGAAGAGCTTGCCATCAGTCCAGCATTGGATGTCAATCACATAGTCATGAAAGGCATCTGTAAGCATGGCAGAGAACATCATACTGAAGAGGTCTGGGGCCAACAAACTCTCCTTGACTTCACTGGTGACTGGGAATGGTTCAAAAGACTCACTGTCATCCACATGAGTGAGCATGCCATCATGGAGTTGCCAAACCATTGCAATGAATTTCTCTGGGCAACCAAATTTTGCCATGATTTTCCAAAGAACACCGTGTCTATGGTTCCCTGATTTTTCCTGAAGCCACACTGATTCTCAGGCAGGAGCCCTTGTTCAATGTGTTGCACAAGACCATTCAGCAGTATTCTGGTGAGGCATTTGCCAGCTATTGACAGCAAGGAGATGTCTCTATGGTTACTGTAGGACTGTCTATTGCTTTTCCACTTATACGAGTGGATGCTGGATGCATCTTTGTACTCCTGGGGTATAATTCCTTGAGTCCACATTGACTGGAAGAGTTCAATCAATTCCACAGCCATGTGCAAGCCTCTGGCCTTGTAGACCTCTACTGGTATAGCATCTGCCCCAGGTACTTTGCCATTTGACAACAGTTTAGATATGTTAATGTCCCTTGATCAACCTAGGACAGTTGATCAATTGCCTCCTCACCAGGGATCCTGGTTTTCTCTGATTTAAAAAAAACAAACAAAAAATCCAATTTTTGGATTAAAAACAGTAACCCAGAATCCACATTTTTCTGTAATTAAAATATTAGTGGTATTTTATTTTAATCATGGGAAAAAAGTGATGTTGGGTTACTTTTTTTTAAATCCAAAAATTGGGGATTTTTTTTTTTTTTAAATTGGAGAAAACCAGGATCCCTGCTCCTTGCTGATAGATGATTGTTGACTGAGGATGTTGTTAAAGTGTTCTGCCCATCTTTGCAGTATCTTTCCTTTGTCAATGAGCAGTATGGTGCTATCAACACTTAGTACTGCAGATGTTCCTGATGACCGTGGCCGATAAATTATCCTCAGAGCATCATAGTAGTTCTTCATATCATTCCTATATGCATAGGACTGAATCTCGTCTGCCTTGTTGCTCACCCATGAGTTCTGCATCTCTTTGAGTTTGCATTAAACAATCTTCTTGATGTTGTTGAAGGCTGCCTTCTTAGATTTTGAAGTGCTGTCTTCTAAACAGGCCTATGGAGCTGATGTTTCTCATTTAGTAGTTACCCTATGTCAAAATCACTTTCATTAAACCAATATTGATGTTTGTGTGTGGTGGGACTAAGGGTGCTGGATGCAGCCAAGTATAGACAGTCTGTGAAGGAGGTCCAATTTTCCTTGATGTTATTAGAGTTTACATCAATTGTTACTAGTTGGCTATGCAGTTCTTCAACAAATGCCTGTTTCAATTTGAAGACATTGAGTTTTTTGGGTGTTATTTTTGCCTTGTGGTCATCTACAATGATGTATCTGGATATTCAACTTGGTGGCTTTGAGCCTGTGGTCAGTCCATCATTCTGCACTTCCCATGGCCTGAGGGCCCTGAGAAAACCATTGATTTCTTGTAGAAAATGTGTGGCACATGTGTGGGTTAAGTATTGTTTTTCACAGAATATTCATGGAGCTAGCACTGATCTTGGCAAATGGATCCTAGTAGTTTCATGAATATTCTGTGAAAAATGATGCTTTACTGGTGCACGTGTGCCAGGCACCATAAGCAATGGGGGAAAATATTATTGGGGGGGGTGCTGAGCCCTGCCTGATCCCTCCCTCCCTCCCATGGGGCTGTTGCAGGGCCAGCATGTGCTGTGGTGGAGGAGCAGCTATATGTTGAGTGCTGCCAGGTGCTGCTGCTGTTGCTGGTCACCACAAAAAGTTTTGAGGGTCTAATCCCTGTTAGGCCTGGCCTTCCACTGCCTATGGCAGGCATACACACACTGCCTTCCTCACCGAGAGCCCCCAAGCCTTGGCCCTCCAAACCCTGCTCCCCCCTGCTCCCTATACATGCATCCTGGCATGCCCCCAGCAGCCGCTTGCAGGCTGGAATGCTGCAAAAGCCTGGGTTTCCCCTTGCAGGCTGGAATGCTGCCAGCCTGCAAAGGGAAACCTGCATTTTTGCATTTTTTTTTTCTGGCACAGGCTCATGACCCTAAAGAATTGCGGTGTGGGGCCCATTTCATGGTATCCACGCAGTTCACAAAATCACAATTTTCTCAGGGCCCTAGTCATGACTTCTGCATGAGTTGGATTTAAGTGAGGGAAAATCACTCTGTCTCATCTAGGCCTGTCTGAATCCAGTGGCATGACAGCGTCGAGATATCTGGAGGCATGTCTGGGTGCAGTGGATGGCCATTAGGTCCTGCTGCACCCGAACTGATGACCTACACTGTCCACACAGCTCTTGATGTCTGCCTTCACAGCTGAGGAGATAAGCATATCTTCTCAGCTGCCTGATCCACCAGAGAAAACTTCCCAGAGGGAGCCAGGTAGCTGTTCACTCTGGTCTACAGTCTGGCTCTGCCCTTATTTTTATTTTAGGGTCAGTTCTCCTAGCCATTCTCTGCCAAGGCATAATCTGCAAAGCAGCAGGAGCTTGCCCTTTTCTGGGGTTTGGCCCTGGTGGCACTTTCTAGGGGCTGCTCTACCATTAGCAGCTACCATAGTGACCTCAAGCCACAGTAGGGTACAGTTTTCGGTCACATCCAGGACCCCAAACAGATGAGTTTGACACCCTTATGATAAAGCAATCCTTATGTTTCAATGAATTGTTTTGATAAAGAAACTTTGGTAGATAATATACATATTAAAAACATAACCTTAGAGAATAGTACCCTGCTGTCCCAGAAATCCTGGTGTAAAGTAATAGAGAAAAATTTGGATATACATTTTACTGTAAGGGATTCTACAGCTACAGCCTTTTTGGACTTGAAGCACTCCTTATTTGACCAAGACACCCCTCCGTAACTTTTCTGAATCGAATGGTATACAATGTAAAAAAACCTAGTTTATTAGTGTCACATGTCTTTGCAGACAGTGAGGGTGAGGGCAGTGCCCAGGCAGCGACAAGCCTGAGCCTGCATTTATCTCCTTATACCTTGCAATACCCTTCAAAAGATCTTGAGGCACCCTAGGATGCTGCAGCATCTTAAGAATCCTAGTATTTGCTCCAGCACCCTGGCTGAGCTACAGTATTTAAAATATTCTGTATTTGCATGCTGGTACTATCTGGCCTTATTATTTTGGGGGTTGGACTTGATGACTACTGAGGTTCCCTCCAAGCCCTATGATCCTGTGATTTCCCGAAGACTTCACAAGAGCACTAGTGTAGATAGAAAGATTACAGACAGTACCCAAAAACACTGCTCTCAGGACAAAGTGATAGGATAACTACAGAGGGGAATACATGATAGTGTACTTCTTAGTAGTAGTATTACTAGTATTATCATGGTACTTAAACATATCAGATGGACTAGGACCCAGCATTATTTGTGACATTCATTGGAATGGAAAGAGCAATTTAAGTGAACTGGTGAAACCAGGAATAGGAAAATGTGCAAGCAGGACCAGCAGAGGGAGATAATGTCACTATCTATGCCACACATTACACTGTAGTAGAAATAAGAATAAAAGAGAAAGGTGCGAAGTAACAGAAAAACAATATCAGTTTATTTCCTTTAAGACAGTGGTACTCAACCTTTTTGGCTGTAGCCTGAATGGGTCGTGCCTGATCCCCTGGCGGGGTGGGGGGGCTGAATCCAGCTGGAGGGGTAGCCTAGCTCTGATCCAGCTGTGTGGTGAATAGGGGTTTGATCCAGTCCCACCCTGGCCTCTTGGCAAGAGGGGGCATGGCCTGACTCCACAGAAGGAAGGAGGCAGGGCTCAGCCCCAACCTGGCCAGGGGATGGGAAGAGGGCACAAGCTGGCCTCATGGGGGTAGATGGCAGGACCAGGCGCCAAACCATTTGCACAGGGGCGGCAGCATGGTCTTGCCCCGACCTGGTTGGGTGGCGGAGGGGGAGGGGTGTGTCCAGCTCTGCCCTGCCCCATGGGGTTTGGCAACGGGGAGGGGTGGCACTGCTGCCCCTGCTCCCTTGCCACCAGACATCCCAACATGTGGGGATCCCCATGGTCCAGATTCCTAGGCTCCACTCGTGCAGTTGGCTGCTGGGCCAGCGGTTGAACCCCCTCACCGCACTAGAAGTTATAAATCCCATAGGCGGGCCATGTTTCCAGTCCTGTTTAAGGTAAGCTTCCCTTGTAGGCATCTCTGTTCCTACCATCCTTGTCAGGGGCTTGAGAAGTGCCAAGCGTTGGAACAAGTCTCTGCGAAACCTGGAGCGGGCTGGGGCGGCGTGGTCGCGACACAGCCGGGGGCTGGGACGAGGCCTGGGTTACAGCTGCCTCTGCGGGCAATGGGGGGAGGGGGAAATGCCACAAGGGCAGAGGGGCGGATCCCCTCTAGCCGTCCCTGCGGTCTGATGCAGTGGCCTGGGGCTCACAGAAGCGGGTGCCATCCATCTATCTGTTAGTCTGTAAAGGTGCATTTCTACCCTGCTGTCCAGTTCAGGTGGGGGATGCCTCGCTCTGTGCCACGGAGCGGGGGCTTCCTTCTCCCCAGACCAGCGGGGGGGACGAAGGAAGCGGCAGGGGCGCGTGAACGCAGCCCTGTCCCCTCCGCGGTTCCCGGCGCCCTGTGAGGCCGGGGGGCCGGGGCAGCCCGGTGGGCCCTCCCGCCGCCGGGCCGAGCC